ACACCACACGTCCAATACACGTCAACTGGGGAGTCTAATATTCTTTCACTAGTGCACTGATATTATTTATACCATTTTTACAATAATGCAGTAGTCTGCATAACAGTAAATTTTGTATTTTTTTGTATGAATAAAAAATAAAAATAGAAAGCAATAATAATATAAGAGGGGCCTAGAGATGTGACTGATGAACAGAGCATATGTTTTTTAGTGCCACGAATGTCTACCTTGTTTATTCTGGACCCTATTTTGAAATTGGCATCTTTTTTGGTTTGCATGAAATTGGCCAAATTGCCAATTTTTGACCATATTGGGTAGTCCAAATTAGTAAATGGGAGGTTTCTTGTACTCAGCTGATAGATAAAATGGAGTTCTAAAGAAATAGCTATGAGTTTGGTCAACTGGAACAATGGAATTGGCTGAAGATAGGGCTCAAAGTCGGCGAAATCGCCGATACGCATATGTCGCCGAGACTGCTAACTTCACGGGAGCATAATTCCATGAGTTTTCGACCAAATTTCGAACTTTTGGTGTCATTACCATCGGGAAAAGATTCTCTATCATTTCATAAGAAAAAATAATTTTTTTTTTTTTTCAAAAATTGAGCGACATAGAATGACAGTTTCAGAAAGGGGCCTGATACAGTCAAAGGGTTAATCTTGTCTCCCAGGATGCAAGCCACACCAGTCGACTAACACCCAGGTGAACAGGGAAAAACGCCTGGAACTAGTGCTCATATTGGTGAATTTAAAGCCAGCAGAGGTTGGTTTGAGAGATTTAAGAATCGTAGTGGCATACACAGTGTGATAAGGCCTGTTCTGGAGGAAAATGCCAAACAGGACCTACAGTACTCAGGAGGAAAAGGCACTCCCAGGACACAGTGTCTCATCAGTCATTGCTGCATCTTCAATAAAGGTAATTGTCATTTATTCTTCATTTAGCAGAGTAGTACATGCACAATATATACTGTGCATGTACTACTCTACTATTGTGCATGCATCCTTCTCTTTGTGTGTAGGAAAATGTATATTTCATGTGGTAAAATTTTTTTTTTTCATACTTTTGGGTGTCTTGCACGGATTAATTTGATTTCCATTATTTCTTATGGGGAAAATTCATTCGTATAATGATAATTTCGCATAACAATGAGCTCTCATGAACGGATTAATATCGTTATGCGGGGGTCCACTGTACAGAATGGGAGTTGTTATTGTTGCTTTTTGCCTATGACATGATTCTTTTATGAGATTCTGAAGAGAGGTTGCAAAAGTTGGTAGACGAATTTGGGAGGGTATGTAAAGGAAAGAATTTAAACATGAATATTGAAAAAAGCATGGTGATGAAACAAAAAATTTAGGCAGTGAAGGATTGGATATTAGATTACAAGGCAGGACTGTGGAAGTGAATGTGTTCAGATATTTAGGTGCAGACTTGTAGGTGAACAGGTCTATGAATGTTAAGTTAAACGATAGAATTGACAAAGAGAAAAAGGTAGGTAGTGCATTGAGGCATATGTGGAAATGAAGAATCCTACCCATAGAGGCAAAAAATGGGAGGGTACCAAAGTGTAGTGGTACCAACACACTTAAATGGGTTTGAAGCATGTGAGGAGGAGGCTGAAGGCAGTGGAGATGTGTATGAGAGTAATATGTGGTGTGAATATTATGCAAAGAATTTGTAGTTTGGAGATTTGAAGGTGGGGTGGGGTGGGGTTACCCAGAGGATGACCTGGAGGAAGAGGTAAGGATTATCCTAGGAAAAGTTGGGAAAGAGGGAGTAGAAGTTTTGTGTGCAAGGGGCTTGGACATCCAACTGGCATGTGCTAGTGTGTTAAAATGTTTTTATGACTTGACGTGCTGCTGGAGTGTGAACAAGGTAACATTCATGAAGGGAGTCACTGTACCTCCCACCTCCAGGACTCGAGTCCTGGAGGTGGGAAGTACGGTGAAGGAGGGGTGAGGATATTGCAATTTTGAGGGACATTCGAGCTGTAATGTCGACATGCCTCTAGCAAGACAGTAATAGAGTGAGTGATGGATGGTGAAAGTGTTGCTTCTTTTTCGGGTCACCCTGCTTTGGTGGGAGACATCCGGTATATTAAAAAATTATTACATTTTTACTATTTTATTATTATTATTCTTATTAATATATTATTATTTGTTTGCTTTCTTGCATTTATCTTAGGGTACAGTATTTTGAAATGTGTTTTCCTCACCTATTTTTTACGTTCATGTGTGATATTGTTGGTCTTGAGAGACTAGGTAGACTTTTTTTTTGTGTTGTGTTGATAAAATATAAGCTATCATCTCACCTGTGACATTGAAGAGAATTATTAATCAGGTACCTGTATCCCAGTTGAATGCTTATTTTCATCTGTTTTCTTTAATTTTTATTGATTAGTACCTGTTAATTGTCTCTTAATACAATTTATCTCAAGGTATGCCTCTCAACCTTATTTTATTATAGCTTTTTTTTTTTTCTTCCAAACATCTTTACCAAGAGAAAGAATGTCACCTCCCTCTTTTATGTTCTTTGAATGGAATCTAAAGTGTGCTGTTTTAATTTGAAAATTTCTTTAGATGTACCTAAGTGCATGTGGCTGAATACTGTAGTATCCAGCCTTTCCAGGGTATGATGTAATGTCTAATAAGTGGTATGTACATGCATTCACTGAAACACTCAAGAAGTGATATTGTGCAATAATTTTTTGTAAAAGGCCTGAACATGTTAAGATAGATACAAAATTACAGAACAAGATTAGAGAAGTAAAAAAAATTAGGTAACATTAATTGCTGGTGTGAGAACACTAAAACGTGTAGAACAATGTGTCACCAGTCAGGGAGTGTGAAAATATAAAGTATAGCTCATAATTTACCAAGCTTGCATGGGCCACCCTGTGTAAGGCAGGATGCGGTCTTAAGACTAAATTAGTAATTTAAGTATTTATACATGTTAGCCTTGTCTATCCACTGCTCATTTTATGTTCGTTCACTGTCATACTCGTCCACAATGTGATAATTCTGCCTTTCAACCAAATTCATACAGAACTTCATTTTTTCTAAACCACTCTCAGTGTGCTGCTTCACCAAGAAATATTATAGCACTAAGCAGTAAAATTCACACCTTTTACATTTCAGAATTAATTCTTCTAAAGTGTGTGTATATGTGGCATTGCTTCACTGCACCATCGTCACAAAGCTTTCAACACTTTAAAATTTCACATCTTTTCAAGTCATCTCCCACACTGAACCATTCACGATTCTACAAATATGCTTGCGTTGTAATGGCCGTGGTTCACAAACACAGGCCACAGGGTTGGGCTGCATCCTTGCCATGACCCTATAGTGTGTCTGAAGTGTGCATTTAGGTTCTTTGGCATGTTTCTCCTTTTACAGGGTGAAGTTCCCGTTGAGAGATTGACAACGTCATTATACTATTATATTGAGGTGAGTGGAGGAAGGCACAGGTGGCTATCCAAGGTTAGATGGAAATGCAGATAAAATTTTTTTTAGTGAGAGTTGAGAGTTTGATTGATTCTATATAGATGTGCGGAAACCGAATTGTTGACAGATGTCATGCATCATATTGCACTGAACATCCGAGTAAAAACCAGGTAGCATTGATAAACAAACATCTAGCCCATGGATAATTTAAACTGGCAGTCTCTTTGGTTTGTTGTTAACATGCACTTGGTTTACAGTTTATTTATTAATTCTCTCCTTTTATTTCTTAGAACAAGACACAACTAGGGCGCCAGCCTGTGCCTAAGTCCTTCCCGGTCCCTGCACGTGCATATTCCCATCGCTAATCCCGATCTGATTATTTCCACTTTTCCTCTCATTTGTACAACTCCTTGATCTAAAATTTGAACGATGCTATTTTTTACATTCACTTAGATTTTCAGCCTCTCCTCCATCTATCATATGTAGTCTTATTATTATAGCTCCTGTACTTACTATCCTTTCATATTTTCTTGGTACTGTACTTCTCTTTACTCATTTTCTGTTAATATTTTTTGGCATTTGCTCGTGCAACATCCATGTTACCTGTCAGTGTCTGTATAAGGTTGTCTTCAGCTTAAATACTCATCTGCCTAAGCCCCCATTTGCTCTTTGCCTCAGTCTGAAATCTTGCTTTACATCCTGGGCTGCTCGTTGGCACTACATGTGTCTGCAACTGCTTGTTTATACACTTGGTTGTTTTCACCTACTCATGTTTTCACATGCCTTTGCTTTCAACTGCCTGAGCACTTGTAGGCATAAATAGTTCCTGCATTGCTTGCTCTGGTTGTGCCTTGTACCTTTGCTTATCATACATAAAACTGTGTGTTTGTGATGAAAGTGAAGCTTGTTAACAAGTGTTGCACTCATTCCTCAACTTATTTGTGTACTTATTGTGTTTGTATATACTCTTAGGCTTGAATTTGTAATCATACACATATGTGGCAATTTGTTGGTGTGCTCTGTCATTACAAAGCTTGAAGATTCGCCAAATTTTTTAGCACATTTGCATTTAAAATATTTTGAGGCTATTGTTATTGATAAAGAGTTCATCAGGCTAAAATTTGTTACCACAAGAAAATAGTTATTTCTGACTTCCTTGTAGCTATTAGTAATAAAACTGCTGTTTGCCGCAACTGTGAGATAATGTCGTCTTTTATGTGTTTCTTATTGTCAGCCAGAACGATTGAATGGGGACCACTATTCTGTAGCTAGTGACATCTGGAGTCTTGGATTATCTCTGGTAGAGATGGCTATTGGTATGTATCCCATCCCACCACCTGACCCCAACACACTTAAGAAAATATTTGGATCCAAAATTGAGGGTGTGAGCCCGTCCCCAACGTCACGCTCACCAAGATCAGGTTAGTGAACTGATGACAGTTTACAGTTTTCATGTAAGGCTGTGGTGTATTTAAACTTCTGTATACAACCATCTGTGGGAATAAGAGATTTTTTCACTGTTTTGCTATTTACTCAATAGATTGTCAAAGATGTGGAGTAGATTTAAGGCAGGTAATGAAAAGCCAGCCTTATTTCAAACAATGTTTCTCTCAATATTGGGCTCAATCCTGAGTGAAACAAGCTGAAGTAGAGGTTTTCTCTACATTACATGTGTATCTACCCATTTGTCAGCCTGTTGCCCCAATCACTAGGATATAGAGTAACTGACAATTTCATCTTGAGTGTGAGAAGAGAGTAAATATCACTAGGATGATGTAGTGGAAAGATGCTCAAACAGGTGTGGTACCTGCAGGTGGTTTGAATTCTTCTTAACCCTTTCAGGGTCCAGACCCCTGATCTGAAACTTGTCCACAGGGTCCAAGAATTTTCCAAAACGAAAATTGTTATTTTTTTCATATGAAATAGTAGAGAATCTTTATCTGAAGGTAATAAAACGAAAAGTACGAAATTTGATGGAAAATTGATGAAATTACGCTCTTTTCGAATTTTGCTGCGTCAGCGATCCTAAGATTGGTAGTTTTGCCCACTTTGGCTCCAATTTTAGACCAGTTATACATTATTCCAGTCACCCAAACTTTTGGCTAATTTGCTAGTATTACTTCTATTTTATTGACTGAGCACAAGAAATTGCCCATACAACTGTTTCAACTACCCAATAAAGTGATTGGAAATTGGTAATTTGGTGAACTGCACATAAAGTTCAAAATATTCCAATTTCAAAATAGGGTCCAGAATAAACAAAGCAGGAATTCATGTCACTAAAATAAATAATATTTCTTCTGTTTATTAGTTATATTTCCAGGCTTTACAAATGAATTCCATTTTGATATTTTATTCATATAATGAATTTTTAGTCACACCAAAAAACTGAAGATACACTGTTATGCAATATTGTAATACAGTGGTAGCTCGGGATACGAACAGCTCAAAACTTGAACAGTTATGTAAGCGCTTTTGTAAGTGTATTTTTGGAGATCTGAAATGGACTAATCTAATTTACATTATTCCTTATGGGAACTAATTCATTCGGTATCGGCACTTGAACAGCCTTCTGGAACGGATTAAGTTCGTATCCCAAGGTACCACTGTAATTGTATAAATAATATGACTTTATTTTGTTTACTCTTGAACATCGGCAAAATCGAATATTTCTGCTGCTTTGAGCTCATTTTCAAGCCATTTTCAGTAGTAAAACCAATCAAAATCATCTCTGATATATCTTCCATTCTATCAAATGAGACCAAGAAACCGTGAATACAACTGTAAAAAACATACAGAAAAAACACCACAAAGTTGCTGTTTTAATCCTTTCAGGGTCCAAGGCCAAAATCTGAAGTCACGCACCAGTGTCCAAGAAATTTTGAAAAAAAAAAAAAAAATTATTTTTTCTTACAGAATTAAAGAGCATATTTTTGTGAAGGTAATAAAACAAAAAAAATTAGAATCTGATCAGTACTTACCGAGATACAGTGCCAAGAAGTTTGTAGAAAATGATGTGGTGGCGGCAACATCGACGAATTCCACATACGCGTATTATATTATTTTGTTGTTTTAGTTGTTTTTTTCTTTTCTTTTCCAATTTTTTTCTATTCCTACTAACATTTGGGGCCTGAGAGACCAATACTGTATATAATGTATATATATAAACTCACTGTATTGAACACAATAACCACACTAAAGTTATTATCATATTATTGTTTACCACTGTTGTTTATTACAATAAACATGCACAAATATTGTATAATACTAATGTTCTATCATATATTTACATATTTACAATCACTGGACATGGTTTTAGAACTGCTGGAGCTTGTGGAACTCCTTGAAACAAGGCACCATGCACAGAGGCACCTTACATTCCTCACACATAAACCGAGTGTCTTTGCGTTTTTGTTGCCGTCGTTTTGTTTGTCCCAAGAAATGCATCTCTTCTGACAAATTTCTTTTGAGTTAAAGGGGAACTGTTTTGAAATGATCCCTTCTCTTCTAAAACGTTTGGGGTATATTGTGATGAATTCGAGGACCATGTTTATTGCAGGTTTGTTACTGGTACTTCATTAGGGTTGTTGACAACAGACAAAAAAAATTCCCAAAACGTGGTTGTTACCAGTTTTTATTTGGTACATTTTAAGTGGCCCCCCCTTAACGTTTTTTAATCCGGCAAAGGGGGGTAATTGTTAGGGGAAAAATAATCGTTAGTAATGAATTTTCCCCATAAGAAATAGGGAAAAAAAATTTAAACCCGTGAAAGACCCCAAAAGTATGAAAAAATTTTTTTTTCCCTAAAATTTTTTTTTATACACACAAATGAAAAAGGCATGCACACTTACTAAATTTATTTTTATTAAAGATCGGGTGTGTTGATGGGTGGGAGGAGGGGAGGAGGTGTTAGTTTTTTGGAAGGGGAACCCCCTTTTCCATTAGGATTAGGTAGAAAGCCCTTTTCCCGGGGGTTACTTCCTTCTTCTTTTAACCCCCTGGGGGCCGCTTCAGAGTCACTGGACTTCTTTCGCAAAAGATTTGTCCATAGTGGCCGTACCCCCGTTCCTTTACACTTCCCTAAAGTGTTTCCCTTGTCGTGTAAGGTTGCCAACCGGCTTGCATGCTGTGTGAGGGTGATTTTCATCCATAAAGGGGTTTTGCACTTAAAGCCACTTTGCACAGATTTCCTTTATCTTTTTTTGGGAACTTCTTAAATTTCTCTCTCCCCCCCTCTGAACCAGTTTCCCCGGGTGGCCTTTGCCTTGAAGTTGATCTACAGCCTAGGGGTTATTTCTTCATTGTCCCCCACCACTCTTCCACACCTCCCCATCCCCCCAAACCCCAAAAGGATTTTCCCCAATCCCACAATGGTTTCCTAACGGGCACGGATTCTCAGGGTTAGCCTAAAAACCCTTCAAAATCCCTTTTGTCTACACATTCGGGCCAAGTTTTTTCCCAAGCAGATTTAAAGGTCCTTTATTCACTTCCCCCCAGCCTTACTATAAGGTTTTACACAATTGAGGATATTAAAGGGATCTCCCAAAACTCTTTTAAAGGCAGTTGATTTTCTGAGGTCATTACAAAGCACCTTTAAAACAGGCTTTTGTGTACATTTTCTTGAATTTGGGAAATCCCCTGGGGTCCATGGGCTGCAGGGAGGAGTGGTTTAGGGGGCAAAAACTTCCCAAATGAAGCTCATGTCCCCATAAGCCCCTTCCAGTCTGTAGGATGACCGGGGGCTTGTCTAACACCAGGGGCATTAAGTTCAAATTTCTTTTCATTTTGGTAATCTTTCCATGGGGGAAAATGCATGGGGGAACCGTTATAAAAAATTCCCTAGTGACCCATGCCACTTTTTGCCCTCCACAGCACCACAAATTATCCTTGGGGGACATTTTTTTTGCCTGAACGCTCGGGGAGTTTCAGAGTGTAACAAAATAAAGGCTTCACTTTGAAATCACCGTACATTGGCACACTGAGAAAGAAAGCTGTCTTTCATGGGTTATGTCCTGGGTCCTTTTCCCCTGGTAATGTAGGTCCTGCTTGGCATTTTTCTTCCGAACAGGCCTGTTTCATCAAATTAAAACTTGTTGGGTTTCAGTCCTTCAGTTTCTATGTACTCCTTAAATTTCCCCGCACATATTTTTCAGCCGCTTTGTGGTCCGAATGGCAGCCTCACCATGCCTTCCACTAGGGAGCCACTCGCTTCTTAAATCTCAAAAACCCAAACCCTTTTGCTGGCCTTAAATTTTCACATCTCCATTGCAGGCTTTTTTTTAAATTAAATCGTATAAACTTCCTGCCTTTTCACATAGACGTTTGGAGACGCTATCTCCTCTAGCTGTTTTTCATTTATCCACACCAAAAAGAGTCTCCAACACTTCCATCACTTGCGATTTTTGTTTCGAAAACACTTTAAAACCTTTGGGCAAGAACAGTTCCTTGATTGCTTTTTGGTGCCCACAATTTTAGCGAGGTTATTGGGTTTCTTGTCAACTTGACTGGTCGGCGAACGCACTCCACTTTCATATTATCAATAAACTCTTTCTTCATTTTCAATGGGATTTTTACCCTTTTTGGTGTACGGTTGGACTAGAAGCTTTCTTGGGGCCCAGGTCATTTATTTTCAGAAAACACCAAAACCTGAATAATACGAAAAAATTTCCCAGTGTAGCTTGGATGTTAGCGCGGAGGCTGGTGGTAAACAATGGCAGGGCGGCACATGTGGGGTGGTGAGGGCGCACTTGGACGCGTTCGGGCGAAAAAACGGTGAGGGGTTTTAATCGGTAGCGCGGCAAAAATTTTTCATTAAAGTAAACGGGATGCGAAAAAAATCGCAGTGATGCCCCGTTATGCGGGGGTCCACTGTATTGCATTTAGCATTGAAAGTCCCCTGGATGGAAGAAAAGTTTCATGTACCACTTTTAACTCTTCGAAACCAGTCAACAAAACCAAACTGCTGTCACACTTGTCAACCAACGCATGTTTTGTGTATAATCAATCCTGTCACTGGGTTTTTGAATACGTTTTATTGTCACTCGATCAACTTTGCCCCTGTCTTTCATTTCATAGGTGAATTTGGGTTTTCAAAAATGTGACTCTCGTTTTTCATGCCCCCGAATGCCATGGGCATTGGAGTAAAAAACCCGCACGTCATCACCACGAACACCGCGTTGAGCCGGGCTTTGTTTACGTTAGAACGCACTGTCCCACACATCTGCTTGTTCATCGCATGAAACACTGAGTAAAAGGGCTTGGTACCAGTTTTCGGGATTAAGTAGGGCCCCTTTCCAAGTAAGGTGCCATCTGTTTCTCTAGTCACCCGATTACCCAATAACCCTTTTGGGATCTTTCAAAGTTTTTTACCCCCGTATACAACAATACCCAAAACCACCACGTCACAATCACAGAGTACAAAAAATTTTTTACCCAAAACGGTTCCTCTTGCCGGGATTTACTGCTTTAATGACGTTCCTTTGAACAAAATCAAAAAAATCGTCATTACAAATTCTTGAAGGATAAAAAATATATCCCGAACTTTTGTTTGGATACATGAAAAAATTTTAATCTTGTTAAACCCGACTTTTTTCAGGCCCGGTTTTGTAGAGAAGTGCACAACTAACAGTAAATAAAACCCGTTCACTGGTATTATTTCACGAAGGATGGGGGAAAAATTAGCCGATCTGTGGGCCGTATGCTTTTATATTTGCTTATAGCGTGAGGATAAGCTTATTGTTTCAAAACAAAAACATTTCTGCAACAGTCGTTCTTTTCCCCCTGTGTAGCTTGACTGTGGTGATAAGATCGTATTTTCCCTGGTTACTGAAAATACTTTTTCTTTCCCCGACAATAATTTCCATCAAAAGGCTGGTCAAAGAATAATTTAAAGAATTCCGTTCATTGGCCGTGGTTCCAAGGGGCAGGTAGGTGATTCCACTTTTCGAGTCTCAAATTTTGGGGGGGTGGGAACAAATTGGGGGTTTTGCTGCCAAACCCGATGGTTTGCTGGTGGATACTGGACATCATAGGGTGGTTGTAGGGTGGGTTTTGGGGGGCTGGGGGTGACGCTCCCCTTTTTCCCCTTTAACTGACGATCAGCAGCGTGGGTTCCCCGGGACAGCGAGTCACACATGGCGGGGCCACTACCCCACCGCCCCACTAACACCATCCACTGATGTCTGTGGCCCCTCCATGCCCGTGTAGCCCCTCTCCTCACTATCCTACCCAAAAGGGTGTAGGGCCACGGGATGGACTCCGGGGTGACTCCGGGATTACTCCATGAACTCCCCCCCTGGGCACAGCATGGGTACACTACCCCGGGGCATTTTCGGCGGCGAAAATTCGACGCTCACTGGTTTAATATGTTTCCCCATATATACTCGAAAAGATTCAGCGCATAAAATCACAATCCATCAGAATCATCGCATACTGAAGTCAGAGGCCAGGGACGGGAAAATATTAGTTTTTCTTTAGTTTAGGGAAAACCCCACCGTGATCACGGTGCCCCACCGGGTAGAAGGTCGAGGATCGTGGGGTTTTCTGCATATTATCGATTTCCCGGTATATTTTCGGTCACTAATGATCAAAGCGTAGAATTCGTTTTTATTTCCCTTCCATCGGGCCGAACTTCAATAGGAAAGGAGGGGTCCCAATTTTCCGGGGAGGGAGTGACTTGCGCGAGACATGGTGAAAAAGTGGGAAAAACCGGGTTCCCAAATGCTATGCAGGCCCTATTTTTTGTTTACGGCGCCACCCAGGGCGCAGACCCATTCTCTCATGTGGCCTATGAGCGCTTTCACGCTAAATTTGACGGCGCAGAATTTTGGCGTAGACTTTTTGGGACACTAAACCGACCACCGTAGATCTAGGGGACGGCCCTGAAAGGGTTAATCCAAAAATTGTCGCGTTTTTTTGTCGTTATGCATCTGTTGCAGGTTTTGTTTCATGGGGTGCCCCCTTGCACTAGATTAAGAGAAACATCTGGGCCCCAAATTCCCACTCACAGTTTATCAGATTGACTGAGCTCTGGCTTAGAACTACAGTTTAGCCTTGACTTCAAAGCCATAGAATACAGGAGGACCCCCAAAGGGTTAAAGAAGCACTCAAAATTTGGGAAATTATAAATGAGTTTTTTGGAAAGGATTGCTTTTTGCTTATAAGAACATAAGAAGCGGGCCCTACGGGCCCCAGGAGGCGGTCCAAGTCTCCTACTGGTTAACCCAATGCCCCAACCTAGTCGGGTCAGGTCCCATTCCAAAGGGAAAGGAACTGGCAACTGACCTGTAGCACGCTAATCGGCCAACCACCCCCACCCACACCCACTAATTATTTTTCTTTTTTTTAACACACCGGCCTTTTTCCCCCCGAGGGGGGGGGCCCAAAAAGGAAAAAACAAAATTTCCTCCTTTTAATTTAGTAATTTACAGGAAAGGGGTTATTTACCCCCCTTGCTCCTGGCATTTTAGTCGCCTTTACAACACCTGGCTTACGGAGGAAAAATTTCTGTTCCACTTCCCATGGAGGTAAGAGGAAAAAACAAGAACAAGAACTAGTAAGAAAATAAAGAAAACCCAGCGGGGTGTGTATATATATGCTTGTACATGTTGTGTAGTGTGACAAATGAAAGTAAAGTAGAAAGACTTTTCCTGAACCTTGCGTTTTGTGAAAGAAAAAGGACACCGTAATCCCCCATCAGAAAAAACAATTACAGGCTTGTTTTACATCACTTGGCAGGAGGGTGTCCCCTCCTTGGGGGGGGTTGCTGTCTACCAATCTACACCTAGGTAAGTATTTATCTAACCATTTTTAAAAATACACAATTTTGCCCCTTAAGTCGCGGGGGGTTTGTTCCACTCATCCAAAACTCTGTTACCCAAACCGTGCTCTCTATACCCTTCCTGAATCGAATTTTCCCAATTAAAACCTTGCTGCAAGTCCTGTCTGGGCTAGATATTTTCAGCATGCTATTTACATCCCCTCTATTTATTCCTGTCTTCCATTTATACACCTCAATCATATCCCCCCTAATTCTACGCCTTTCTACAGAGTGCAGATTCAGGGCCCTCAGTCTATCCTCTTAGGAAAGACTTCTGATACATGGGATCAAATTTGTCATCCTCCTTTGTACCCTTTCCAGAGCATATATATCCATTCTGTAATACGGTGACCAAAACTATGCAGCATAATCTAAATGAGGCCTAACCAAGGATATATAGAGTCGAAGAACAACCTGAGGACTCCTATTAGTTATTCTTCTTGATATGAAGCCAAGGATTCTGTTAGCTTTATTGCTAACACTTATGCACTGTTGTCTTGGTTTCATATTACTGCTAACCAGAACTAAATCTTTTTCACAATCCGTATTATTTAGATCTACATTATTTAGTTTATATGTGGCATTGTTATTTTCCTGTCCAACATTTAGAACTTTGCATTTGTCTATATTAAGCTGCATCTGCCACTTCTCCGACCACTGCATCAGTCTGTTTAAATCTTCCTGGAGTGCTCTAATGTCCTCATCAGAATGAATTCGACGGCATAATTTGGTGTCATCGGCAAACTTGCTTATGTCACTCTTTATTCCCTCATCTATGTCGTTTATGTAGATTGTGAACAACAGGGGGCCCAACACTGACCCCTGTGGAACACCGCTCGTGACGCTTCCCCACTCTGATTTCTCCCCATTTATGCAAACTCTCTGCTGCCTATTTATTAACCATGCCTCTATCCAGGAAAAAATTTCTTCTATTCCATGTGCCTTAATTTTCCTCAGTAGTCTCTGATGTGGGACCCTGTCAAAAGCCTTTCTGAAGTCCATATACACAATATCATATTCATTACCATGACCATGATCTACCTCCTCAAATACCTTAGGGAAAAAAGTTAATAAATTCGTAAGGCAGGAACACCCCTTTGTAAAACCATGCTGAGATTCGTTGATTAATTTATGCTTTTCAAGGTGGCTACGAATTGCCTCGGCAATTATTGATTCCGTAAATTTTCTCACTATGGAGGTTAGGCTTATTGGTCTATACAGTGATCCCTCGATAATCGTCGGGCTTGATAGTCGTCCTTTTCAGAAATCGTTGCGTTATTTTTGTCCAAACATTGGCTCGCAAATGGTCGGTTGACTCGCTAATTGTCGTTTGTCCTGGACGCGTACTCACGGCTCTAAGCCGCCTCGACCTCCCTTCCCAGCCAGTGTGCCATTGTTTACCACGTCACTTGTTCATACGAAACATTTCATAATATTCCATTCATTTTAGTGCTTGTAAGTACTAAATTTAGTTTATAAATAAACTGTTTCAGATTTAAAAATAAATACAGAAACTGAAAATTTATCTTATTCCAGTAGAGAAATCTCTGTACCTAAAAGAAAGCCTGTTAGATTTTAAAGCTGAGGGCAAAACAGTTTGTAAATGGCCCATAATTTTAGCTTAAGTTTTGGGCCTTAGGTCCTCATAAATGTTCATTAGTTTCAGTATATTTTAAGGGAGCTAATTTTCAAAATTCTGTGCAGCTGGTCTTCCTGGTGAGCCACGGCCTATGGCTATCTTTGAGCTTTTGGATTACATAGTGAATGAGCCACCACCTCGGCTACCTCCGGGTGTGTTCACTCCTGAGTTTGTAGATTTGGTAGACCGATGCCTTAAGAAAAGTCCCAGTGAGAGAGCTGATCTTACAACATTACAGGTGAGTTTTTTATCTGTAATTTACTATGTATTTTGGCTCTAATTTTCTTGATAATTCTTGGTATAGTACTATATATAAAAGAATGTCTAACTTACTTTCTTCTCCATTTTATTTGAATTTATTACATGCATGTGTAAAGAGAACCCTTGGTTCAACTGTATATGCAGAGGCATAAAAATTAGAGAGGGAGAGAGAGAGAACAACAAAAGACAAAGACAGTGGAAAAGCTGCAGAAAATGAAGGACGGATGAGCATAGAAGTAGTGAGCATATTAGATGGAAATGAATGTTAGTATGAGGAGAGGCAGATCAACAGTTTGAGAATGACAAAAGTGCTTCACAGCCACACCAGAAGACAGATGACAGTGAAAGACCAAATGGATCTGGACAAACTCCAAGATTGATCAGATAAGTGGCTACTGGAACTCCACCCCAGTAACAAAAGGTAAGGAAGACTGGGGAAGATCAGAAACAGGGTGTAGACTTTGTGGAGAGAGGATGAGAGGGTGAACATAGTGCCTCGCCTCACTTATTGATGGAGTTCCGTTCCTAAGACCACGTTGATAAACGAACTCATCACTAATCGAGGAACCACCCCTTACTGATAATTCAAAAATGTCACCACCTGAAATTAAAACATTCAGTTTTATGTTTGCTATAAAAATCCTTTCAATCCGTTCATTATTAATGGTAATAATACAACATGAAATAGGTTAATAAATTGCTTCCAAGATAGTCCAGGAAATTCACACATAGCTGATTACTTTTTTTTTTTTTTGGGGGGGGGGGGGGTGGAGAAAATTTCACATTTTTCAGTCCTTGCATAAGATAAGAGTGATCTTCTGTAGTTACCCTTCAGGCACATAGCACATAACGTTTTCTGTAATGGTTGCAGTTATTTTTTTGTTTCTTTATCCCTCCCTGCCGCCTACCCTTCAGTACCTCTCCATGTAATGTCAGTTTTTATTAATTTGGGTATCTTTATCATGCTTCTACGTTATTTATGTTATACCTATATTCTGGAATAAATATGATAGGTAGATAACCTTTATTGATAGTAATAGTAAATCATATTTTGAGGCTTATTAGATGCATTTTTTTTTTTTACCTTAAAATGTCTCCAAAAATCACCCTGCATCCTATAAACTGAAGGTCAGTGATGGAAGCTATAAGTTTGGGGTGGGCTGTTGTTCTCCTGGTTATGTTTGATGCTGATCCATTGAAACTAAAACAAGTCTTATAAGCTGCAAAATACGGTAATTATACAATATTTTATAGTGCCGTGAGGCACACCCCTCTATGCATTATGGTGAGTGTGATCGCTCTTTCTCCCTCTCATATAGCTCCACCCACCCTCCAATACCTCTCCATATAATGTCAGTTTTTATTAATTTGGGCTTCTTTATCGTACTTCCACGTTATTTATGTTATACTTCCTAATATTATTCTGGAATGCGATAGGTAGATAACCTTTATTGATAGTAATGGTATAATTATACAGTGGAACCCCGAGTTTCGTATGCCCTGAGTATCATACGCTTCGAGTTTAGACCGCGTTTTTCGGTTCAGTTTTGTACCGAGTTTTGTACTGTGTCCCGTGTTTAGTAACGCATACCAGACCTGTCCACCTGCCTGCATCCCCTGCACAGGCATTGTGAGCCGGTCTGGCTTTGTTTATGCTCGAGTGAACACTAATCTGCTCGCTCATCCGAACATTTCACAATTAATTCATTGTGTTTGGTGCTTGTTTATTAAGTGTGACTGTGAAGTAAGCTACCATGGGCCCAAAGAAACTTCCTAGTGGCACCCCTGTGGTAAAGAAGGTGAGAAACACCATAGAAGTGAAGGAGGAGACAGTAAAAAAATACGAGAGTGGTGTGTGACTTGTGGAGCTTGCCAGGATATATGGCAAAAGCAAATCAACAATTGCTTCTATCCTGATGAAGAGAAAAGAAATCAAGGAAGCTGATGTTGCGAAAGGTGTTGATGTGCTAACCAAAAATAGACCAAAAATAGTCGGAAGTTGAGAAGTTGTTGCTGGTTTGGATCAAATAAGAAATTTTTTAAAGAACTTCAGAATGTGGCCTGTTACCATTTATTTCTTATGCAACAAGATTTTTGGATCCGAGTTCTTTAAAGGTCTTTTAGAGTCTAGGGGAAATAATTTCAACTGGGAAACTCCATAGAATAATATTCAAATTTATTAAAGTATTTAAATACAATACTTTATCTTCTCTTTGTAGCTAATTTAACTTAATACTTTGTACAATAAATTTATCATATACAGTTGACCCCCGCATACCGATTTTAATCCGTGCAAGAGGGCTCATTGGTATGCGAAATAATCGGTATGCGAATGAATTTTCCCCATAAGAAATAATGGAAATCAAATTAATCCGTGCAAGACACCCAAAAGTATGAAAAAAAAATTTTTACCACACGAAATATACATTTTCCTACACACGAAGAGAAGGATACATGCACAATAGTAGAGTAGTACATGCACAGTATATATTGTGCATGTACTACTCTACTGAATGAAGAATAAATGACACTTACCTTTATTGAAGATGCAGCAATGACTGATGAGACACTGTGTCCTGGGAGTGCCTTTTCCTCCTGAGTACTGTAGGTCCTGTTTGGCATTTTCTTCCAGAACATGCCTTATCACACTGTGTATGTCACTACGATTCTTAAATCTCTCAAACCAACCTTTGCTGGCTTTAAATTCACCAATATGAGCACAAGTTCCAGGCATTTTTCCCTGTTCACCTGGGTGTTAGTCGACTGGTGTGGGTTGCATCCTGGGAGACAAGATTAAGGACCCCAATGGAAATAAGTTAGACAGTCTTCGATGACACTGACTTTTTTGGGTTATCCTGGGTGGCTAACCCTCTGGGGTTAATTGTTTCTCGGTAATTGTTTCACGTTAAGCCACACCAACAACACACTCTCCACATCTTCGAGTAATACAGCTGACGGTGGTGCAGCAACAACAACAGCTGTGGTGCAGCTGACCATGGTGCAGCAGCAGCTGGGTGCAGCAACAGCTGACCATGGTGCAGCTGCAGCTGTGGTGCAGCAGCAGCTGATTGGTCCAATTTATCAGCTGACTGTGGTGCAGCAGCAGCAGCAGCAGCAGCAGCAGCAGCAGCTGATTGGTCCAATTTATCAGCTGACCGTGGTGCAGCAGCAGCAGCTGACTGTGGTACGATAGTATTTATCACCCTTTTTACCACAAGGTTGGCACTAGAAGCTTTCTTTGGGCCCATGGTGGCTTATTTAGCAGTTACAAGTACTATAAATAATGGAATAATACAAAATGTATCGAATGTATGCATGCAACCGGCCACCCTGGCTTGTAAACAATGACGACAAGGCAGGCGCTCAGGCTGGACGGACAGGTTCGGGACGAGTCATGTTCAGAAACAGCTGATGGTGCAACAGCAGCTAACCGTGGTGCAGCAGCAGCTGACTGATCCAGCAACAGCTGACTGGTCCAGCAACAGCTGACTGATCCAGCAACAGCTGACTGATCCAGCAACAGCTGACTGGTCCAGCAACAGCTGATTGTGGTGCAGCAGCAGCTGACTGATTCAGCAACAGCTGACTGGTCCAACAACAGCTGATCGTGGTGCAGCAGCAGCTGACTGATCCAGCAACAGCTGACTGGTTAGCAACAGCTGATCGTGGTGCAGCAGCAGCTGACTGATCCAGCAACAGCTGACTGGTCCAGCAACAGCTGATTGTGGTGCAGCAGCAGCTGACTGATTCAGCAACAGCTGATCGTGGTGCAGCAGCAGCTGACTGATCCAGCAACAGCTGATCGTGGTGCAGCAGCAAACTGATCCAGCAACAGCTGACTGGTCCAGCAACAGCTGACTGGTCCAGCATCAGCTGATTGTGGTGCAGCAGCAGCTGACTGATCCAGCAACAGCTGATCGTGGTGCAGCAGCAAACTGATCCAGCAACAGCTGACTGGTCCAGCAACAGCTGATCATGGTGCAGCAGCAGCTGACTGATCCAGCAACAGCTGACTGGTCCAGTAACAGCTGATCATGGTGCAGCAGCAGCTGACTGATTCAGCAACAGCTGACTGGTCCAACAACAGCTGATCGTGGTGCAGCAGCAGCTGACTGATCCAGCAACAGCTGACTGGTCCAGCAACAGCTGACCATGGTGCAGCAGCAGCTGACTGTGGTATGATAGTATTTCTCACCCTTTTTACCACTGGGTTAGCACTAGAGGCTTTCTTGGGGCCCATGGTCACTTATCTTGCAGATGAAATCACCAAAAACGCTGTAATAATACGAAATGTTCCGATTGTATGCTTGGATGTTACTGTGGAGGCTGGCTTGTAAACAATGCCACCGGCGGAACATGTGAAGCTGGCTCAGGCCGCACATTAGAAGTGTCTCGGACGAATAGCGTTGAGCGAGTTTTTTAGCGGTATGCGAGGCAAAATTTTAGTGATAAAATGTATCGGTATGCGGATTTAACGTTATGTGATGCCAACGATGTGCGAGGGTCCACTGTATTATGCAGAGAATTCATAGTGTGGAAATTTGGAGGGGGTGTGGAGTTTCTAAAAGTATTAGTCAAGAGGGCTGAAGAGGTGTTGTTGAGGTGGTTTGGTCATTTAGAGAGAATGGAACAAAGTAGAATGATTTGGAGAATATATAAATCTGTAGGGGAAGGAAGGCAGAGTAAGAGTCGTTCTCGAAAAGGTTGGAGGGAGGTGGCAAAGGAGGTTTTGTGGGCAAGGGGCTTGGATTTCCAGCAAGTGTGGTGTGTGTGTTAGATAGGAGTGAATGGAGATGAATCGTTTTTGGGACCTGACAAGCTTTTGGAGCGTGAGCAGGGTAGTATTTTGTGAAGGGATTCAGGGAAACTGGTTGCTGGACTTAAGTCCTGGAAATGGGAGGTATGATTGAAGACAGTGATTATGTATGAGTGATGGTGAAAGTGTTGAATGATAATGAAAGTTTTTTCCTTTTGGGT